GTTCCGGGTTTAGGGATGATATAGGGCTTAGGGTTCAGGGGTTTAGGGCTTTAGGGTTTTAGGGTTTTAGGACCCTAAACCCTAAACCCTATACCCTTAAACCCTAAACCCTAAACCCTAAACCGTGGTTTTAGGGTTTAGGGCTTGCGGGCTTCGTGCCTGGAGATAAAGCCTCCACTCTCACAAGTCTTAGGACTCCACGCCCTAGGCCCTAGGGCCGATTATTCAGAGGAATGCGGTTTAGGGTTTAGGGTTTAGGGTTTAGGGTTTAGGGCAGTTTGACTAGATGTTGGCCGAAAAAGCCGAGTTGAGCACTGACCGTCTTTGGAAACTTAGACCTTTTGCTCGGTCTGAGCTTCCTGCGGCACTTAGCAATCACTGATATCCCCGAACTTACTGCCGGTGCGGTGCTGCTGCCCCAAAACCTGAACACTTAATCCTTATCCCGCCTTCCACCCCAAACGGGATCCGTACACCCCACAAAAAAAGAAGCCTGAAGAAACACTGGTATGATTTCTTAGGGCTCTTTTCTTAGAGATCTACTCACAGCCTTGTTCTAATTCCAAAAGCCCCTAAGCACGACTCTCCCACCCTGAGCATCAAAATAGCCCAAAAGCATTACATAATAGGGTCTTTGGGCCCCAAAGCCTTAAAATCTGAGTCCTTTGAGGGTAAGGGCCAGAGGATCCGATCGCCCGGCCTTGCCAAACTCCTCCCGAGAAGCCTGGCCATCGCGTAGCCGGCCTTGCCTTCAGCAAGTCTTGGGCGCTCTTAGGGTTTGAAGGGTTTAGGGTTTAGGGTTTAGGGCTTTAGGGTTTAGGGTTTAGGGTTTAGGGTTTAGGGGTTTTCGGGTTTTATGGTTTAGGGTTTAGGGATGAGGGGTTAGAGATATTAGGGTTATGGGTTGCGAGGAGTTAAGTCCTGGGGTTTAGGCTTGCCAGTGGCGTATGCAAGTCGCCATACGCTTTCATGAGGTCGCATGGGGATTTGGCTTGCAGGTTCAACCCTAAAGCAGAGGTCCTAACACAATCCCCTCCCATAGTCCTAAGGTCGATCATTTATAAATCCTGCATCACCTCAAAGACCCTAAACTATGGGAACTATAGTATGGGAATTACGGTATATTCGTATATTTCTTACTATGCCCTAAACCCTAAGCCCTAAACCCTAGTCATCAACCGTAAGACAATCTGCACCCCCCCCCCCCCAATGACTGGCGAAGGCCGGTATAGAGACTGGGAGTACGGATGGGGTTTAGGGTTTAGGGCTTTTGTAAGGTTTTGGGTTTGGGGCTGAAGGCTGAAGGCCAAGAGGGCCAAGAGCGGGAAGAGCAAGGGAGGGGTTTAGGGTTTAGGGTTTAGGGTTTAGGGTTTAGGGTTTAGGGTTATTTGGGGGTGGAAATTTGGAGGGTCACTGTAAGAACTGGTCAAAACAGGGATTCGAATGGGCACGGCAAATGCTAGCTGTTGCTTGGCGGTGTAGTGTCAAGAGAGCGAAGAGGTGAAGATTTGTAATAGACACGGCCTCCACGATGGCACAGTGCCAACAGAGTGAAGAGGCAATAAGAAATTGACAGGGCCCCTAAACCCTAAACCCTAAAACCCTAAACCCTTAAACCCTAAACCCTAAAGCCCCTAAAGCCCCCAAACCCTAAACCCTCCACGATTGCATCTTAAAGTTGGAGAGCAAGATCTGACACAGACGCCGAATCCTAAGCCTGCTCTGTCTGAAATCTTCAGGGTCTACCTGGACCCTACACAGCCTACCTTTTCAGGGTTTAGGGTTTAGGGTTTAGGTGTTCCTTATTGTGATTTCCTATATGAGCGTTTGTCAAAACTTGTTGTTTATGGCAAAACCCTGGATGATTTGAGGGGGGGGTTCTGTCGTTTTACAGGGATTTGGCTAAATGGCTCTGTGGGGAATCGCTTTGCTCTTGTGTAAGTAAGAAGACCATCAGACTCACTGATCCTACTCACGGGAATATACTGCCCCCTTTACTGCCCTATACTGCCCTTTGGCGAATCGGGCCGAAGAAAAAAAATAACATCCTCGCAGCCCACCATCGCGACCATTCACATGCTTCAATTTGTCACACTCAAACCCTAAACCCTAAACCCTAAACCCTAAACCCTAAACCCTTCAGGACTGAGTGGGGGCCCTCACTGCCTCAGTCTCGCCGTCTGCTTGACGGCGGCCCTCCTTCAGACCCCAAAATGGGCCCATAGCAAAAATCGAACTCTCCAGCTTTAGGGTTTAGGGTTTAGGGTTTAGGGTTCAGGGTTTAAGGCTTGCATGAATTTCTTGAAGTGTTGTTGCTAGGCCACCCAAAGCATCACCCAGCTCTTCCGAAGCCTCCTGGTAGGTGTCTCCATCGCCTGCTCTCAATCGCCATTCAGGGAAGAAGTTGCTCCGCAGCATCCCGAGGCCTGCCCGCAGGCTTGTGGGTTTAGGGTTTAGGGTTTAGGGTTTAGGGTTTAGGCTCGAAGGTGCCATGGCACCGCACGCAAGCGATCTTCGCCGGGATCTACCTCCCACCCCGACCGTGCGCTTGGAAGCACTGGAGGAGGCCAGCTTCACGTTTGAGGCTTGCTACGAGGTTCATGGGTAGCCACATGTAGACTTTAGAAGTGCCCGAGTAGCTAAACTGGGGTTGTAACTATGCCCTTCCTACAGTCCTAAACTATGAGTAGTTACCCCAAACATAGAAGCCGTAAATCCTACAAACCCTTTCAGCTCTCATAACCCCTGAACCCCTAACTTGGCCTAAATCCCTAACCCCTAAACCCCTAAAGTCCTAAAGCCTAAACCTAAACCCTAAACCCTACTGTAAACCTGTATTAAGCCTTTACCCCTAAACCCCTGAAGCCCTAAAGCCTAAACCCTAAACCCTACTGTAAACCTGTATAAAGCCTAAACCCCTAAAGACCTAAAGCCTAAACTTTACTGTAAACCTGCATTAGGCCTTTACCCCTAAACCCCTTAAGCCCCAAACCCTAAATGGACAAAAGCCAAGGCACTGCAGCAGCTCGGCCATCTCCTGCTGCACCTCCCCCAGTGCGGCCTCGGCTGGGCTCTGGTGAAGGAATGTAGTTGAAGCTACCGTAAGTTAGGGCAAGTTAGCGTTCGTTTAAAAGCTTGTACAGGAAGCCCTGCTTTTTACGAAAGACTACTTAGATCATTAGATCACTGTTATGATATAGGCCTTAAGCTAAGTACTAAGTCCCTCAACAAGAAGCCGGTTGGGTTGGGAGATAGGATTACGGGGAACCCTAAACCCTAAACCCCAACCCCTAAACCCTAAACCCCTAAACCCTTGGGATATAGACCCTCTCAATAAGGTCCCTTCGTAGAGAAGTAGGGCTAAGAAGGGTCCCCTTCGAGGGCCTCCATTCCGCCGCTTAGGCTCACCACCACGCCAGAAGTCCTTAGCCCTAAACCCTAAACCCTAAACCCCTAAACCCCTATAAACCCTATAAACCCTAAACCTCTAAACCCTAAACCCTAAACCCAAAACCGTTCAACCTACGTGCGCGGGAGCAAAAGCCCTCATCTTCAAAGAGACTCGGCTCCTGGATCTTCACCCACGAGCCCCAAGGCTCCATGTACACATATAGTACATACTTATAGGCCTTGAAGTACCTATTTAGGGTCTAGGGTTTAGGGTCTAGGCGTTTAGGGGTTTAGGGTTTAGGGGTTTAGGGTTTAGGGTTATTATATAGGGACCCCTTTAAGGCCTAAGTGGGAGTTTCAGAAAATGGGGGACCCTAGTATAGTACCCTAAATGGTAGGATCCTTATTAGAAGGACCCCCAAA